GTGTTATTACAGGCTAAGCAGGGTCAGTCCTTAGTAGCCATAATGTCATCAATTTCACCATCATCAGAACTGGAACCTCTGTTCATGCTGTATCTCAACAGTGTTATAGTCTGTAAGGAGCTATCAAATATCTCTTTATATTATTGTTATTTTGATCACACCTGTACTTGCTTTTCTCTCATGTTTTTCTCTCATACACCAAACTTTGCCATACTTAGAGCAGACTGAAAATAATGAGACTTATGTTCACAACAGCTAGTCTAATACACACTGATTTCACGTAGGCTGCATCAGATATGCTTATGTTTGGATCCAGTCTGTTGAAAATCTCTATACTTGGTCTAAAAGGCCTAACATTTCTTGCCATTGATTACGGTGGTTAATGCTGATAGATGGAAATGGCAGAACAATCTGAAGGGCCACATGTTAGCCTCTTCAACTTTTGTGATTTACTCACAAAGAGGTATTAAAAGCTTTCTATTACTGTCTACTCAGAAGTATGTCCCATTGGCTTCAGCTGGACTTGTTCTCAGGTAACTTTATAACTTAAGGCTTACTGACACGTGTGTCTAGTATTATAGCAGAGGTCCATGAGCCAAAGAAGATCCCTAAATAAATATAATAAATCAATAAAATAAAATCAGACGGTAGCTAAATGCTGACAGAACGAACCATTGACAATCAAATGGTATCATGAACCTTTTTCCTCCATTTTTTAAAATACTCATTAGAGAAAATAATACTTTCATACTGCAGGAGTGTACAAGAGATTTACAATGCTATGTGAGCCCCTCCCAAAATTCAGTAATTGAGACAGCTGAATTGCACAATAAGAGACTTCTCTGGCACTGCTCTCTGCCTTTGGCTTTGTTTTGCTTAACTTGAGACAATTACAAATGCTCAAAGATCTTGTGATGACTAAGATTCAAAATAAGAATTGATCCTGGATATCAAGAGTTGGAAGTGTTAAAAGACACAAGGGCAATATGGATCCAGAAGCAGAAGAATGTTCAAACATATAAAGCAAATGAGAATTCATAGATTTCTACAACTTAGGTATTTCTTTGTGAAAACATGAAAACTGTCCATCAAATTGGTATTAATTGTATTTCTAGTAGGGTGAAATTAAAGCTGGCTGCCCTATTCTAACCATACAAGAAGATGTGTGGAGTGGGTGACCTACTGTGACAAAATCAAGGTTGGTAATCTCAGCAAAACATTGCTAGTTTTCTTTACACTCTTTCGTAGACAACAGTGACACATCCTCAAACTTTCCTATAGAAGAACTTTGGTTTATTGAGATACTGGAAACCAATGCTCACAACTGCCTACTGTCAGTCAGTATGTGTCCATTGCTCTGTGGGAAATTATCATTAAGACATCTATATGCCACAATTCCAATCTGGACTGCCCCCTTATCTTTATGACTATGATTGAAAGTTTTAATACATGTGGGCCCCACCAAATAATGGACCTTATTCTAATTGCACCTCCCCCTCCCAGCAGCCCCCCAGAAACTTGCTCCAGAGGGCTGGAGATGCTTTGAAATAATGTGAGAGATGCAACTGGAGGCTATGTAGGAAAATGGCAAATGATTGCTTCTTCCTACTGTTCTCTAACCACTAGGACCTCGCTGCCCCCTCTGCTTAGAAGAGCAGATCTGGATCCAATCCTGTGATTAACATACTATGTTCTTAGGTTCTGGAAAACTATCTGAAAGAAATGTTACCAGCACAGCCTGGAGAAATAACATTTTTAGACTACAGCTCTCATAATCCAATGATTTTACTAGCTGGTAGATTTGGGTCGTTGTCATACAAAATATCTTTTACAAACTGTGCTTAGAGAAGCCTTTGTGGTTAATACTGCACAAGGATTAAAAACAGAAAATATTACTATTTAAGTCCTTGACTATGACTCTACTAGAGAGTTGTCATGAAGCGCGGAGTATGCTTAGTTTAGGGAGGAAAACTGATGGGGGAAAAGTTATCACTCCTTCTATCCCGTTCTTTACAAAATCCAGTGCAGCATCCCTCAACCTAGTTCCTTTCAGGAGTAATCTAACCAGGTTAAGGAAAGGCTGATAACCTGGCTAGGTTGGGGAATCTAATCCTTTCAATTTTTCATAACATTATTGAGCATATCTTCTGTTGTCTCCCTTTCATGCAAAACTGGTGATGGTGGAGTTGAAAGAATGTGCAATGTGCATTGCACATGCATATCACAAGGGGCATTTTGCCAGCTATGTTGAGAGAATGGGAAGAAAGGAACAAAGGCTATGTTTCTGATTCCATACTAAAGGATGATTCGGTTCTAAAATGTGAGTTTTCAACTATACCAAATTCCAGATTATGGAAGTGATTGCAGCAGAACATCCAGGTGCAGGTGTGTTGCCAGTTCCTGCTAATGGACGCAATTGACCTTCCCAACCTAACTAGGAAGAAGAAATTTGGAGCACAAACTTTCATGGACTCAGTCATTTCATTAGTATTAGCTAATGTATATTAGCTGGGAAAAGTGATATCCATATGTATGGCTCTTTAATATCTTCCCCTTTCATACTCTTTAGCATTCTATTGTTATTGTTTCTTTTAAAAAAATATTAAAAGATTAGAAGGATTTTGGGAATAGGTGAAGTAAAATAAATTTAGCTCCACTGATTGCCTTTTGCCATTTGACACAGATAAAAAGCAAACGCTAGACTTCCAAATATGTAGCTCTTGAGGCTAGCTTAATGAGTTTTAAGAAGTTTGATTCTACAGAGATTTTAAAAGATTATGAAAGAAGTACATGATGGATTGAAATTTTAATGGAAGTAATAAATTAGCTATACCCATTATGTAAAGCTACACACACGCGCGCACGATGATGCATGTTAATAGATGGGAAACAAAATGAATTAATGGGTTAATTATTTAATAACTTAGTTATTTAATCAGTAGAATAGCCATGAATGTTTGCTGAACTTTATCAATAAATGATATAGCAATTTATTGAATAATATATTTATTGAATCACTATATCAGAGCAACCTCTGTTTGCAAAGTAGGAATGATAATGACATACCTCATTGGGATGCCATAAGTGGTGTACCAGTGTTAAAAGAATTATATACTATATGATCCTCAGTATAATGATCAAAATGCTCCCTCTAGCTATTTTGAAATCTCTCTCATCTTCTTTGCAGGATTAGTTGACATATTTTTTGAGCTACAATTGAAATCTTTTAAATCTTTCACTTAAAGAACTGGTTATAGCAGAACATTTATCTGAAGTTTTGTAGCAATGTATGAAACTTGGATGTAAACTAAATATGGATTTTATGGAGTTGTAAAACTGCTGTATGAATTGTTCATAACAAGTCTTGCAGTCTTATTGTTTAAGATAAATGTACATGCCATATATACTTGGTGAATTTGGGGCCCAAATTATGGAGTTTGCTATGACTTGTAAATAAGTTGAGGATAAAACATAGTTAGAAAACACTTGAAACCATCAGAAAGACATATATGTTTATGGCTGCAAATTTCTAGACCTTACTCAAAGTATGCTTACTGGAATCCTCAAGGGTGGTCAAGGAAACCCACCTGAAGTTTTTTAGAGCTTACTCTGGTGTATAAAAACTCAAAAGTTCTATCTGGGGGAAAAAACTAATTTTAGTAAGCCAAATGCCCCAAAGATATGACATATAACACCCATAAACTCTTACTACTGAGAAAGGACTGGCGGGGAACCTTGAGGGAAGAAGAGTCAGGTTAAAGGTTGTGCATTTCCAATTTTAAATGTTGGACTGGACAGGAAACAATTTGATGCCACATCAATAATATAAAATCAAAATATACATTAAAGCATACATTTGAGAGCCATATAAAAATTAAAACACATTGTTAAAATCACGCAATCTGAGATCATAGTCAAAAAAGCTGTTCCAGTAGTTATTGCAGGTGCTATTTTGTATAATACAGTAGATCCTGAAAGTCATTGTCATTTTAAAAATGTCTTCCTGAGATATGTCCAGACATATATATGACATATATATTTGGAATCACATGGGTATAACACAGGATGTGGTGACTGGTATTTTAAAAATAGCTCCTACCAGCAGTCTCCACAGATTTAGAGGCTGGTGAAGAGTCTGCTGATGGCTTTAACAAGATGTTTAGAATTTGTTAATAATAACTTTCTCTAATTGTCATATGGTATTTGGAAGGTGTTAGATGGAAATCCACCACAAACAGAATGTTTTTCTGCTCACCTTATTATAGGTTGCACCAATAGAGGTACAGTGTCCAGAATGAGGGAAGTTTGGATTCCAGAATGATTCTATTCATCACATTGTATGTGATGAATGAAATCCTTCTGGAATCCAAAACAGACTTGCCATACATTTTGTTCCTCTGTTTTGAACCCCTACCCATAGATGTTTGACATATATTTGAAATTTCTGTCACAAACTTTTATATATGTGGTGGAAAAATCTGTGGTCCTGTGTTTTTATACTACAGCTGCAACTGCTCCTCAACATTAGTCATGCTGGCTGGGGCTGATGGGAGTAGGAGTCTATCTTAAGACAGATTCCTAAATTTCTGCCCTCTGGTATAGCCTAGAATACATAAGAAATACAAGTCAAAAACGTATCTGAGCATACAAAATGTATTGCTTGTATCTTTGGGTCCAAACTAGTTATCCCTCAGTTGTTTGAAAACACTAATTTAAACGTGATTATTATTTATATAAATTTGCCTCTTTTTTGGTAGAATGTCATACAAAACAGGATCACAGAAGTCTAAATCTTACAAAACTGAGAAATCTGCAGAGGTGGTTAATATTGATTTCAGAAAAGTTGATGACCTTGACATTACAGTACTTTGCTCCATATGTGATGAACCGGTACACATTAGCCATCTTTTTCACCATAAGAAAGCCCACCAGGCTAAGGCTGTACTTGGACATCGGCGACCATGGATAGATCCCATAGACATAAAGAAAACAAACCTCCAGAGAAACCACTTAATCTTGAGAATGAAAAAGATTGCTAAGTACCCTGAAAGAGAGATAGAGAAAATTGGCTGTTCATATGATTTCCTCAAGGAAACCATCAAGAATACTCCATATTTTTGCATCAAGAGTGTTGCACAAAGTTCTGTGCAAATTAAAGTAGTAAGCAACCCACTGATAAAAGCCATAGCAATTTGTCAAGACAAAAATGCTATTTGGCATCAAGATTTGGAAGATGTATTTGTTGTGATAGACAATTATGGAAACAGGAAAGACACATGCTTTCTTGGACTCTTTGATGGTGCCAATGGAATTTCTGCTGCTCAGACAACATCCGCTGAATTTCCTCTCTTACTTCTTGACCAGCTTTCTCGTGGAGACTCCTCCTATGAAGTGAGTCAAGCTGAAAGAAAAGTGCTGAATTCATTTTGCACCATCTTTAGGGCAGATTACAAACTAAGAGAGCTTATTTTTACTGCTAGAAGTGTCAAGAGAAAGAGATTTAGCCCTAAGACTCATGAATGGGTTCACAGAGCATACGCAAAGTCTTTCTGGCGCATGGACAGACTTTTGCGGCTTGGGAGAAATGAAACATCAAGAGTTCGTTGGAGTAGCTGCACAGCCGTTACTTGTTTAGTGGAAACAATAAGCAATACAAAGCAAAAACAAGATGAAGATGGAGAGAAAAGTTCTGAAACACTAATACATGAAAAGCAACCATGTGCCACAGAACAGGAAGAAGAGTTGCCTGTAAGGATCAAAGGAGCAAAGAGAAAAAGTAACATAGGAGAAGAGGCAGGCAGCACCACAGAAGAGCAGAGAGAAGAGCTAATTGAGAGCAGGAATGAGGAGGAACAGATCAGCATACAAGGAGAGAAAAAACTGCCAAAAGAGATGTGTGGAGAGAACTCTAGCACTGAACACGATATGGGTAAAATCATAGAAATGGAAAGAGATGAGCCACCTGGAAACATGAATGCCGAGAAGGAAGAAAATATCATACTACAGGAAGAGTTGTCTGAAAGGATACTTGGAACACAGAAGGAAAGCAACACAGGAGAAGAGATAGGTGGCACCACAGAACAGCAGAGTGAGAAAACAATTGAGAGAAAGAATGAAGAGGAAGAACAGATACAACAAGAAGAGAAAGAACTGCCAAAAGAAATTAGTAGAGAGAACAGAAAAAGCAGCATTGAAAAAGGTTTGGGTGAAATCATAGAAATGCAAAGAGAAGAGCCACCTGAAAATATGAATGACAAAAAGGAAAAATATATTACACCAACGGAAGAGGAGTTGTCGGAAATAACTGGAGCAATGACAAAAAGCAACACAGGACAAGGGAGAGGCAGTATCACAGATTATCAAAGAGAGGAACCAAATGAAAGAATGACTGAGCATGCAGAGAACCACAATGTTGTACAACAGGAGGAGGAACTGCCTGAAAGGATAATCAAAGGAAATAGAACAAGTAACATCGAACAAGGGACAAGGAGCATTATCATGGAGCAACCAAGAATGGAGTCAGCTGAAAAAATGAATGCCAGTAAAAAAGAGCAAGATGTCATTCCACAGGAGGAAGAAGAACAGACTGAATTGACAGTCAGAGAAACTGAGCAAAGCACCATGGATGAGCTGCAAGAAAAGACATGGGAAATAAAGAAGCAAATGACAAAGGCAGAAGTTGAGCAGAGCATAAATCAGAAAGATGAAACTCAAGAAGTAGATCCACTTGAAAACATTCAACGTTCAGATGAACCAAGTGCTGGAGTCATTCATATTGCTAACATTGGTATGTATGCAATTCCTCTATTATCCTATCTGTTTCGGCGTACTGTTTTAAAAAATGCAGTAGCTATTTACAATTTAGTTCAATGTCTTCAGTAGCCATGATGAAATATAAGAATAGCGATTCCATATATTATAGCTTAAAATATAGGAAGATTTAGCTGAATAGGATTGTTCTGAATCAACCCTGATCAGGAATGTCAAGATTCTTTTTCCATTATTATTATTTTATTATTATTGTAAAACAACAGGTTTTACATACCTAGATGAAAATCACACCCCCTAGAAACAGTGTACAACTACCTGTTTTAATGCTGTATGAAATGCATACTTGGAGTAGGAAAGTAAAAATGTTCTCCACCTAAATTGGAAGCAACTTTCTTACAATTTTTAAAAAAAACAACAAAAACACCAACTAGAGTGAGTATGGGTTGGAAAAAGGGACATAGCAGCCAAATGAAACAAATCTTAAGCACCAACTGGGAAGCTACAAATCAGATAATGTTTTCAACATAAATCTAAAAGCTTATGTTTACAATTTTCTCTTCATGACTGGGGATGCTCAAGACGTATTATATAGCTGGGTAGATAGAAGAACTATCATATGCACCTTAATGAATATCAACCTAGCTAGTAGCTAGCTAGTTTACATATAAAGTAGAGCCTCACTTATCCAACCTTCGCTCATCCAACGTTCTGTATTATCCGACACAGTCTGCCTCCTGCCCAGAATAATGTCCAGGGTGGGAGAAAGAAAGAACCCCCGTCTGTTTTGATGCTAAATTCGTAAATACAGTAATTACTATGTAATGTTACTGTGCACTGAACTGCTTTTTCTGTCGATTCGTTGTAAAACGTGATGTTTTGGTGCTTAATTTGTAAAATCATAACGTAATTTGACATTTAATAGGCTTTTCCTTAATCCCTCATTATCCAACATTTCACTTTTCCAATGTTCTGCCGGCCCGTTTATGTTGGATAAGTGAGACTGTACTGTAGCTGATGTTTCTTATGGAACTTTTGATTAACATGCCAACAGGAACTTGACCAATTTTGTCCATACAACTTGCTTGAGATCGATGTTATGATATATGTTCTCTAGGTGTTTATAGGTCCTCCAGTCCAAACCGCTTCGAGTCGCCTTTTTAGGCTGATATTTGCGGTATACAAAAGAAGTAAATAAATAATAAATTTTTTTTACTTGAAGAAGTCCTGCGTTTGTTCTCGCAGAAGTACTTTTTAATGTGAAAACATTAAGCGTGATTTCTTCGATTCTATATTATTCTGCATTACAATTTGTAAGTGCAGATACCTCTCAATTCAAAATGTAACTATTGAATTTACATTGTTAAAAGGTATAAATTATCGTTCCTTCCTCCTTGGTTCTAAAAATTATGGTGGAAGAAAGGATTCTATGCTGCCCATCTTAGCTCTTCCCTCCAGAACGACGTCGCTGTTTTTGCAAGCGGACCATGGGGAATCCCCATCACATGTTAAATTTCATGTTTTTACAAATCTCTATGCAGGGAATTAAAAAAGAAATCAATTGCAAATCAACTCAGGAAACATAGAAAAAAACCACACTTTAGGAATGGCGAAATACCTGAAACACATAGTATGGGCTTGTGTCATGTGATGGGCTGTCAGTAGCAGTTTCTTAAATGTGTAGGAACACTGATTTTATTGTGTGTGATGAAGTCCTAATTTCACACCAATAATTCTGTGCTTTCTCATAGCCACTGGGAATATTCAGTCGTCAGGGGACTGTATCGAGTGAGGCAAACAAAACAGGTGGAGAGACAGTCACCTTTTTCTCAATGATCATTCTGGTGCCAGTTATGTGGTTGTCAACCTCATGTGTTCTGTTAGAAAGAATCAGAGAGAAAGAAAGGGAAAAAGGCAGACAGGTCTCCCATTCCAGGCAATAGCTCAGTATGCCCACAAAACTCTAGTTCCAGCCTACGGATAAATATATTGCAAAGCACAATTAATATAGTACATAATCTAGAAGCACAAAAGAAAGGTAAGTAAATTATATAGAGTGTCAGGTAAGAGCTACACATCTATACAAGAATGTTTAGGAATTATATAATATAGTAGCTCTGCACATGAATGTGCAAAAGAGCTCTTTTATGAAATGTGGAATTTTTTATTTCTAGCAGGGGAAAACTGTTTTATCATTCGATCCCTTTGAACAAATTCTTAAAATTGTTACTCTACATTTTTTTAAATTTAGGTAATGTTCATGCAGTTTTATGCAAAAACGGGGAGAGTTATTGGCTTACTAAAGAACACACCACTTACTCCAGAAAGGAAAAGATACGTGTTATTCGGAATGATGGACAAATCAGCAGTAATGAACCCAAAGGATTGATAGAGGGACTTACCAAAAATACTCGTGGTCTGGGCCACCATGGAAACCCTCAGTTGAAAAAAACAGTTATTCCTGTACCACATACAATCTCCTTTCCTGTTGATGACTCGTGTCAGTTTCTTATTTTAGCTACCAATGGACTTTGGGAAGTTCTAGATAGAAGGGAAGTAGTACTGTTAACTTTAACAATGTTTTCAGCTTATTTGCAAAAGTATCACCAACAACAACTAAAGAAAATCCGCAGGGCCAAAATTTCAAAGTTTCCATTGAGGGACATGGAGGATGAATTCTATTTATGGTATTCAAATGAAGGTTTTTTCGAAGACAGAGATAAAACATTCAGCCAAAATAATGCGCCATTGCCCCCAATAAACAGTGCCACAAGAGAGAAAACACCAATTCAGTCAAGAGTTTTTGTAACAAATTCAGAAGATGAAGAATCAGAAAGCTCTTTAGAACCACCTTCTATCAGTCTATCATCTTCTGAAGATACAACAGAAAGACTAAGGAATGGAGTAGGATCTGGAGCTCCAAGTAAAATACGTGATGACAAAAGCGATGAATCTTCACAAATAGCAAAAGATTCGGAAGGAAATTCTAGGACATTTTATGACCTTGCAGCGAAATATATTAGCAAGCATCTTGTAACAGCTGCACTAAAAGCAGGTTCCAGAGATAATATTACTGTTTTTGTTGTACTCTTAAATGGATGTGATAAGATACCTACCTATAATTTATAATATTTATGAGATTGAAAAGTCGCTGTCAATTCCCTTATGCTTTAAAAAACTGACAATATTTTTTAAAATGTTAAGAAGACTAATTACAATAGTTTCCATTTTATACCACTTTATTCAAACCTGAGCACCTCAATATAAAACTAAACACTGGTGAACTGTCATTTTCCTTGCTAAGCCCAAATGACTGCAAATTTACAATCTGCACAAGTAAGTTTCTGCTAGCAGTTCAACATTTAAATAGATTAAATCATCTTCTCTGACACTTGGTAAATTTCATATAATGAAAATAACTAAAGAATTAGTGCAATATACTGGACAGATCAAAATAAAATGGACTTTGGAAAACAAAGTTGCAGAATTCATTACAGACAGACAGTAGTACTTATGTTACAGGTACAGGAGCATCATTTATTACTGTTCTAGCCATGAAGGAAGAACTTAATCCCCTCAAGTTGTGGGGAAAAGAAATGTTAGCTCTTTAAAGTAACTGTACATATTGTATACTTTTAAGCAACTCTTAAATAGTACAGAGTATTAAACAGATGTAGACTACAATGCAGTACCCTATTTACAGTACATTAATATTCCAATTTAAAATCAAGTTGAATGTACATAATTGTTAGTGCACTGACTTGTTTTATTCTTAGGGGAAATATAATTGTGTTATGATCAACAGTGATTAAAAACAAAATCAGATACGTAGTTTCTGTTGTACATGGATTGACAATTTCTAAAGAATGAATCTTTGTTGCATTACGAGTTGAATTCATTGGTCATCTTGTATTATAAACAAAAAATTGAATTAAACTTGATTTTTTAACTTTAAACTGGGCTGACAAATTTACATATAGTGTAACAACTAAAAACCAATTGTTTCCGCAAGCACAGGATCAATAAAATTGTTAATGCTGCACATATTTCAGTTAAATTATGAAAATGTGGAATGTATATTCAAATGGTAGATACCCACATAAACAACAGTTTGCATAAATACTGTGAATAAGCTTATAGGATCTTCAGGTGTGTTATAGTTATGTTTTTTTTTCCATACCACAAATGGAGAATCCCAGTTCTGTTCATTATACTTTAACAGTAACCAAGCTTAAGGAACTAACTGGTTAGCTGCAGATCCATGGAGTAGTTCAGTCTCTATCCCTAATGACATGTATTACAATTTATAAACCTTTCAACTGAAGCCAGGTCTATCCAGCTTCCTTTCCCTTCCCTCCTTTGCCTGAAACTTAACAGCCAGTGATACATGCATGTTATTAAAAATTAGGACAAAATCATTCTGTATTAGAAATGACTATTTCATAAGTCTCTTCGATTTTGGAAGCTGTATTGGGCCAGGTTAAACACTCCAAATTCCATTGTTATTAACAAGTTAGGAAGCAGAAGAATATTCAAGACAGTTTAAAGCAGCTGAAAGTTTAGTTGCTACAGCATTGACTCTTGGTTTGTTGTGTTGGTTCAGTAAGGTCTACCCCTCGTCCTCTAACAGAATTGGCCCCTGTATTCTGTGGTTCATTCTTCGGCAACTTTTTAGCTACAAGAAAACAAAAGTCTAAAATTAGTATTCAATATCTATATGTGCATATTTAATTTTCATAAATATGATGAGTTAGATACTACACGTAGGATTTCCCTATAGTAATCTAATAAAGAAATACAGTTATCCAGAGCTTCTCTTAAAGGATTCAAGCTGAGTCACTGAAAACATGCATACAAATCGTTAACCTGTAACCAAATGAGGGGGTTCTGAAAATACGCCACAGCCACTTGCTGTCTGTTTCTCTACCATTAAAAAAAAAAGCAACCCAAAGAGTTGTTCTCCCATCCAATCTGTCAGTACCGATAAGCAGTTCATTCATCACTACAGCTTCAAGCCTGGAGGGTGGGCTGGCACCACTGGGAGGCTTTTCTCTCCCATCAAATGGGAAGACACCAATTTCTAGTCATGTGTACACAAAGGCCTTTATGAAAAGAAGCTTTGTTGTCAGAAGCTTCAATAATGAGCTGTGGCTGTATACTTTATATACATACACATCAATTTATCCTTTACTCTTCTAGTTAATCTTCTTGCTCTTTTAATCTGCACAAAGTGCTCAGAAAGGCTGCCTTGTGCTAACTGCTATGCAGTTAGAATGCATATAGGTGTTTCCCACAGTTCTTCAGAAGACACCAATGGAAAGACTATCTTAAGACCTATTAAACATACTAAGGAAAGTGCATATCAATGACACTGACATCACCACTCCTCCCAATAAATGATTTTTACTGTATGTCTGATGGAGACATTAGTGTGCTCTGAAAGTTGACGTGATGTATTTCGTGCTTTTTGATTGCCCTAATAAATGACACAACAGTAAAAGCAAAGTATATGTTGCTTTTTGTTGTTTTTTATTTAAAAGGTTTACTCACCAATTGCCATGAATATTTCATTTACATTCATTGATGTTTTAGCTGATGTCTCCATGAACAATAAACTGTTGTCATCTGCATAAGATTGCGCATCCTGTAAGTTAAGCAAACTGATTTATTGTGCTTCTTGTAGTACTAGATTATAGAACACTTTGTAACTTCAAATGATGCTGTTTAACAACCTTAAACTTGATAAGACCATCCAACATAAAAGCCAACCTCCAGGAAATTTAGCAAAGCCTTATGCGCAAGTCAGTACCAACACAAACATTTCATAAATCACTCATTGATGGTTCTCATGAACTAAAAATTACTACTTAGAAAAAGAAGCATACAGCATGTGTGGCAATGATTTATAGGATCATAAATTTAATCATCAAATATTTAGACTGCTAAGGGATTTTACGATCAAGGAGAGCAAAAGGTTATAATGCTGAAAATTTCATAAAATTTAGCAAATTTGTTTAATACCAGTTAATAAGAAATAAAGAAGGGAACAAATCAGAAGAGTAATAGCTTCAAGGAAGTTCACAAGTTGCTGCAAATCTGACAAACATTCAACTTGGCCATGACCGTGTTCATCTCAATTTCCTGTATACTTTCTTAATAATAATTTATACTTCCTTGTTTACTGAACTAAAATGCAAAAGCTGTAGTCCACATACTTTCCTTCCACGTCTCTTTAGAACTCAACTAGTCAGTTAAACTGTAGAACGCAATGATCCAAACAGAACTGGTGTGTGGATAAAAGAAGTCTTTCTTCATCCCTAACTTCAATCAGTGGTCAGATACTGTAGATGATACTTGCTGAAAATAGGCTTCTCACAGCAGTCAGAAACTGGGTCATTCTGCTTATAAGACAGTGAGGGTGTGATAGAATGAACTCTCAAAATACCCAATTTTTCAGCTTCTTTAATTCACTTTTTTTTTTAAAAAAAAGTGGCACTTTTAGGAAAACTAATTTATAACATAAAGAACAATTCTGACAAAGTCTTAAAACAATAGCAAGCAAACTATACAGATCTATGTAATATTCTAGCAAACGTAGGGTGTGAAATCAAATATAAGATCCAAAACTCACCTGAAAATCTACAGCCCTTTTGTTAGCTAGATCAGCTTTATTTCCAGCTAAAGCTATTACAATGTTAGGACTTGCTTGCCTCTGGAGTTCTTTTACCCAATTCTTTGCTCTTGCAAAAGATTCCTGTCAATTGTTTAAATAGAAAAAAAACAAGACTCATATATTTTTTAAAAAATCCACTGCCCACAAATTACATTTCAACATAATTATTTATCTTTTGATACAGGAACACCTAAGTTCACAAACCACTGAACTGTAAATATATTTACTTGGAACAAGAAAATCTTCACATCAGTGGAGGTTTGCTTGGAATCACTGATGACTGTTGAGACTTGAATCTCCATTAGTCTTGTATGTCACCTTCTTAAAAGAGCAGAGGCTCAGAATGTTGCTGCTAGGTTGCTAATTAAGTTCCTCATTTGAAGCAGGCAGCATTATGCAATTGGGTCTGGACTCAATCTTTGTGTTTCTGAAACCAACCCAAACCCCAATCTAGTTCAGTATTAAACAGCTTGATACTGGGGGATTCAAAGATTCCCTGCTCTTACATGATCCCGTCTACCTCTGTGCCAAGTTGTACAAAGCCTTTTTGTCATGATTTCCAGGTACATCTCTTCCAATGTAAACATGTCAAAATTCTTCTCTCAGAGCCTTTTGAAATTGAATAAAGTTTGGATTCTTCAGACAATGCTTTATTAGGTAATGTATTTCTTGCTGTCTACAGCAAAGCAAAACTGGGATGGAAACTGCACTAGTTCCCGCAGAGGCAGATCTAGCCATTGTGACATGTCTTGATAAAATGCTTTTTTAAAAACTGTAATCTCTACATGAAATTACACTGGGTCTCTAAAATCCTGCAGGCAAATTGCTAACTGGGACTAGCTACAAGGAAAATAACTTTGAAGGTTACTTATCAACATACTGCTTTTAAAACATGTACCTCTTCTGTTATACCATGACTAACTTTACTTACCTCATTGGTAATATCATAAACAACTATAGCTGCTTGTGCTCCTCTGTAATACATTGGTGCCAAACTGTGGTATCTTTCTTGACCAGCTGTATCCCAAATTTCAAACTTTACTGTTGTGTCATCAAGACATACAGTCTGTGTTAGAAAAGCAGCTAAAGAGGAGAAGAAACAACAATGAGACTTGTAGTTCTGTATATGGTCTAACATGTTTAGGATTCTTGTTTCTATTAGGATATATCAGCAAGAACGCAATTAATATAAGAAACAGACCTGTACAATTAATTCCAAAATATTAAGCATCTTAAGGACTATGGGAAGATATTTTGGCAATGGCTAACTTTTATATTTGCTGTTATTGAAAGTTATGTCTAACTTACATTAACACAAACCTATCACAGAGTTTTCTTGGCAAGAGTTCTTCAAATGGGGGCTGCATTTGGCTTCTTCTGAAGCTGAGAGACTGCAGCTTGCCCTAAAAAGTGTTTTTTAATAGGTCAAAGCAAAACATAATTGAGGCTGGATCCAATTCAATGAAATACAGCCAAAACATTTTTTGAAAAACCCTACAATTTGTAGAACATCTAAACTGAGAGAGTTTGGGATGTAGGGAGACTATTTACATTCAAGAATATTCGAACACAAAAGCAATCTCTTATATGAAAAAGTGTTAGCTAAGCAGTTCATTCATTCATTCATTCATTCATTCATTCATTTATTTATTTATTTGGAACAGTTATATCCCATCCTTCTCAACCTCCAAAAAGGGACTCAGGACAGCTACCAACCGGCACTATTCAATGCCAACAGAAAATAAAACATAGAATAAAATGGTTACTACAAATTAAGTCAGATATAAATATA